GAGAACTGGGAGGGTCCGAGGCGGAGGGAAGGGATCAGGGGAATGGCCAGCAGCCAATCCCCCGCCCCCGGTCCTAAGAGGGACTGTAGCCTCTGCGTGTGGCCGAACAATGGGTTCGGCTCCATGTTCCGTGAGCTGTCTAGCAGTCGGATGTAGCGGGCGGTGTGCACTGCTAGGGAGAGGGCCTGCTGTAGTTTCGGCCCGTTAGGCTTCTCTCTCCCTGTCTGCAGGGCGTCTACTCCCTCAGGTGGCAGTTCGGCTTCAGCAGCAGCATACCAGCGAGGCCATGAGCTTGCCACGTTTGGCCTTGAGCGCCTTCTCCTCCTCCGCTGCCTCCTCACTCTCCCTCCTCGCACTCTGCACCTCCGCTTGCCTGTGGCAGGATACAACACACAGCAGAAAAACGTATGGGACGCGGGAGGGCGGCGAACTTATGGTTGTTGTGGATGGAAGATAGGCAGCATGCCCGTGCACGTGACAAAGAGATGCATACCATACACGCAAGCCTGATTGTACACGGGCGTACCCGAGGGAGGAGGGATGTGGACTCCCCGTCCGCCTTCATCAGCGGCAGCAGGCCTGATAGGCTCGGGTTTGCCGAGTCGCCGAAGGAGTGTAGCAGGTGGGCGGCCGAAACAACTGAAGCCAGGTAGGCGAATCTCCCCTCCACTGCAAGATTGGTGATGCCGAGACCCCCTAGGGACGCGGGCAGAGCGGCTTGGTGCCAGATTCTGTCCCTCTCAGCCCGGTCCCTGGGGATACTTGTGTGTGCCGCGGCCAGGTAGGTGTGGAGCAGTGACTCCCCCCAAGCCGACCACTCCTCCAACGGTAGGGCTTCAGGGGGGGTGGCTCTGATCAGGAACGAGGCGCGGCGGCTCACGCAGCGGGTGAGTAGTAGCAGACAGAGTTGGGGGTCCATCTGGGCGAGGAGCGTGAGAGGTTCCGACGCTGCTGCGAGGCGCTCACGAACACGTGCTTCACAGCCGATGGGGGGGCCTATGGGGCTGCCGAGAACGCGGACTCCATCCGGGGAGATTGTGATGCCCGCGGATAAGGAGGCGGGGTCAAGCGCAGCTGCGGACCACGCCTCACATTTTGCTGGGTTGTGGGCAAGCCCGAGGAGGCGGAGGGCTTCTGTGAGGTGTGTGAATGCCGCCGTGCAGCTCGCTGCCTCCCCGAGCAGAGTGATGTCATCTGCATACGCCAGAAACACCACGTCCGGGTGAGCCGCTGCTGCTTGGACGAGGCAGGGGTGTATGCTGGCTGCAAACAGCATGGGTCCCAGCGGGTCACCCTGGCGTACGCCCCGTGCGCTCTTTAGTGGCTCTGCTGCGAAGTCATGGTCGAGGTAGAGTGCTGATGAGTGGCCGTAAGAGAAGCGTACGAGGGGCACCAGGACTTCTAATTTGGTGCCTCTCAGGCCCTCGAACACTGCTGCGCGCTCTACAGCATTGAAGGCATTTGCTAGATCTATTTGAAGCGCCGTCGCTCCTGGGAACTCCTCCAGGTAGGTGCGTGCGGTGTGTATTGCCGCCTCTATTCCTCCCGCGATTGCTACTCCAAACTGAAGCGGGGTGAAGTGCTCGCGCGCCGCTGGAGCGGCAAAAAAAGGGCCGCCTTGGCCACGAGGCGGAGTAGGCATTCGCCCACGGCTATCGGCCGTGTACCGCCCTGCGGCTTCGAGAAGGCAAGGAGGCGTGACGCTGTTAGGAGGTCCGCCACGTCCGCCTTCAGTTTTCCAGCGAGCGCCGTGTTGGTAAGAGCATGCAGCTGCACGAAGACGTCTCCGTTCCCCAGGGCCACGTCTCTAAGGTGCTCAAAGGTGGTGCCTGATGGCCCCGCCCCCACTGGGTTGGGGCATTTCGCTAGCAGCCGTCTGAAATCCCTGGCAGCGATGGAACGGACGCTCTCTGGGGCGAAGTCGTGCACCCAGGGAGGGATGGCCGTGGTGGCGTCTGGATGTCTGGCTGTGAGCGCGTTGAGAACTTCAGCGCTCGGCGTGCAGACCGGCGTGGCAGTCAGGGTCTGCAGAGATTTCGCCCGGTTCCCTCTCTTAGCCAAGCCTTCTGCACGCGAGAGCTTGCCAGTGTCATCAGGTACGTGGCGTGGTTGGGGGTCGCTGGTAACCGCGCCTGCTGCCTCGTCGTACAGGTTGCGCCACAGGCCTTGGCGGAATCGCGTCAGCCTCGCGCCCATGGTTTTCCAGTCGGGGGAGCGTGCTGACGAGGTGCGCAGCAGAATGCGCGGGAGAAACATCAGCAGCTTCCAGCCCGCAGTGGAGTCTGGGTTTTTTGCCAGGTGCAGCAGTGGAGTCAGCAGGCATATCGCGAAGGATTCGCGAAGTGGGCGGGGTGGGTGACGGGCGAGGGGGGGCTGCCTGCTGTCGCGGTTCCTCGTGGGCGACGGGCGAGGGGGAGCTGCCTGCTGTCGCGGGCGAGGGGGGGCTGCCCCGAGGGCAGAGGGCTAAGGTTCCTCTCTCTCTCTCTCTCTCTCTCTATCTCTCTCTCTCTCTCTCTCTCTCTCTCTCTCTCTCTCTCTCGCTCTCGAGCGCCGAAAATGAACCCACGACAAAATAATGAGGAGAAGCAAGCTAGAGCAGGCCTTAAATAGGCCGGGAGGGCCGAGGGCAGAGGAGAAGGCCGAGGGCAGAGGGCTAAGGTCTCTCTCTCTCTCTCTCTCTCTCTCTCTCTCTCTCTCTCTCTCTCTCTCTCTCTCTCTCTCTCTCTCTCTCTAATGGTCCGTATATTGATAAGCCAGAAGGGTACACACATGCAATGAGAGACAGCAGGTTACTAACATGCAAGGTAGTCTAGACTATCCAACCTCTCTAAGTCACCTAGAGCTCAAGAAGAGGCTCTAGGACGGTAAAACAGTCCCCCAGGTATAATTCTTGCCCTATCCCTCCTACAGGTGGGTTCTCAGCAGCCGCCGCCTCTCCTAACTTGATCATGAGTCCCACAGACTGGGCCCTCTGCAGTGCAACCGACCACCTCTGCCTGAACTGGTGCAGGAACTTCGCGGCATGATAGGATTTGGAGTCGGCGTTGAAGTATCGCCGAGCCGCCGTGTCTGCAAGGAGTTTCAGGAACACAGGGACCTCCGCACAAGGGCAGCCGTAGGTCTCCACTGCCAGGGGGAAGAAGCCCACTGTCTCTGGCAGGTTCTCATAGTGCTTGATCTTCTTATCCGCCTGCTCCCGGGCTGCCCAACCCCTGCCTTTCCTTGCCTCCGGGTCCCGTGTGCTAATCGGGTCTGTAACCGTCACATCACACACCCAGACCGCCCCACTGCTTCTGTCTGTCATGGTAAAATCAGCCGCCTGCTCCTCTATGGGGCAGTAGACGTTTGTCTCCCTGTGTACTATGAACCTCGCGTCCTGCGCCATGCTGATGCACGCGTCGCGGAGTTCGTTGTCTCATTATGAGTATTCGTACGGTGCTTCCCCGTGCCGCAGCGGAAGAGGTGGTTGGGGAGGCGCGGGTCTGTGATAGCGGTGTGTTCTGCACAGTCACAATTCTTCGGAGTAGAGAAAGGGAGGCCCAACTGGAAGCGCACGGCGTTGCTGAAGTGTACCGGGCCGATGCGACGTGAGGAAGCTACCGGGACCGCCGTCAGCCAGTCCCCTGTGCCGTAGCCTGTGAGTGAGAACATTCTCTGTGTGTGCCCAGAGAGTGGATTCAGTCTCATTCGCCTCGTTTCTTGGACCTGAACCGCGTATCTACTCCCCTGTACTTTCAGGCCCAGTGTGTGCTGGAGCTTGATGTCCGACCGAGAGAGCCGCTCCTGGTCAACTACGTCGCGTGCGTCTGAGGGCAGGGCAGTCTCGCACTCTGTGAGCCAGGAGTGTAGCGGTGTGTGACGTCTCGGGGCAGAATCATGTGGCTGTGTGCTCGGGTCAGTGCTGTGTCTGGCGCTAGCGTCAGGGAGGAAAAGAAGAGTGCGGCCTGTGTGAAGCTGGCTACGAATCCGTAGACCCCTTCTACGAGTGGGTCTGTCAGTCCTAAGCCGCCCAGGGATGAGGGAAGCGAAGCCTGCGCCCACACTCTCGACTGCTCCGTGCTACAGGTAGGGACTTTAATCCCGCAGGATGTCAGGAGCGCTACTAGTAGGTCTCTCCCCCACTGCGCCCAGGTGTCTCGTGGCAGGAGGTTCAGTGGCGTGGTGTCTCTCTCTCTCTCTCTCTCTCTCTCTCTCTCTCTCTCTCTCTCTCTCTCTCTCTCTCTCTCTCTCTCTCTCTAATGGTCCGTGTATTGATATAGCGGTCAAGTACAAGCATGCAAGTCTCACTTCCTCACTTCTCTCTCCCTTCTGCATCTCTGTCTCTCTCTCCCTCCCCTCTGTTTCCCTCCCTTACTCTTGTCTCCATTCGTCATCTCTCCCCCTCCTTGCTTTCTCCTCTCTTCCCAGCTTTGCAACTACGAGCCGTGCATGATATGAGTAGGAGGCAACATCTGCAGGGAAGTTGCTGTAAGAGAAAGAAGTTTTCCTCCTATACCCTTACCCATTCTCTGCCCCTCCCCCTCCCCCCCCCCCTCCCACTTCCCTTCCCCTCCCTTCTCCCATGCCGCCATGCTGTAGGCAACTGGGAAACAACTATTTTTCGGGTGGTCTTCCAGTGCCACTCAATGCGTCACCAAATCTTTTAATTCTGTGAGAAGTGTGACATGCTTTCAGCGCTTTCACATATCTAAGCCAAGTGCCAACCCTTGCCAAGTTCTGTGCCTCTGCACTGCACTCATCCCCTCACCTGCACTTTCTGTAGTGTCGTGTGCTCACCCCCTTTCAGTGGTCTGCCCCTATCATCTCCACCCCTCTTATGCTCTTTCGTTGTTTTCTCTGCTGCCGCTGCCCTTCAGTGATCTGGAGGGAAACGGCCTTACAGGTGCCTTACCGGACTTTGCTCGCTGGAATGTCAGCCTCAACATCCTGTACGTACGCAGCCTCATTTCTCATTTTACCCGTTGTAATTCGTCAGTGGCAAGTACGGGCTACTGCCTTAGATGGGTACGAAGCATGAGCAACAATTCCATCTTGGTTTGTCAGCGATTTCGTTTGGCCGACTCCCCAGCCTCCGAATCAGCTCGTCCACCTTCCAGCTCCTCGCAGCTCAGGCCGAGTCTGCTAGGCCGAGTCTGCTAAGCTTGGACCCTACCTCTGTCTATCGGATACCACTGACCTCTCTCAGGGGCTAGAGTGGGGCTCTGCGAGCTCTGCCAGATAGGTGGCTATGGTTGAGTGTATCTTGCAGTGCATGTCATTGGCATGAGCCCTTTGGGAGGTAATGCTCAAGTCCTGACAGAACTTGTGAAAGAGTTTTGCTGCCTCAGCAAAGGTGAATTTGGTTCGGAAACGTTTCAAGGCCGCGTATTGGCTCTGGAGGCAGCAAATGGTTTGGATTTTAGTATGTATGAGGAATTATGAACAGCGACTGTGGTCGGGAAGGAGGACAAGCAGGAAGCGATGAATCAATGGTCCATGTGGACGAGGTAAAGCAGAGAACGAGGCTTGGAAATAGGAGCTCGTGTAGTTTAGGGGAAAAGCTATATATGGATGGGAAAATGTGCGTGATGCCCTCATAATCACACAACCATTGCATGTCGTGCTTCTTTCTTCAGGGCTCTCAGCAACAACAACTTCACGGGATCTATTCCCAATTCCATTTCCTCTCTGACTGCACTCGAGTCAATGTAAATCTCTTGCATTCACAATGCAATCATCAGTGTATGCACCATAATCCTCGTCTTGTGTATGAATTAACCAAGGATTCGTGTGGAAATAGGCCATCGCGTGATATTTCGATGTGACACAGGAATCACCATGCAACAGGGGGTGTTTCTTGTCGCGCGCGCGTGTGTGTGTGTGTGTGTGTGTGTGTGTGTGTGTGTTGCACTCTGAGTCCCTATTATTGGTCCTCGTTTCAGCTTCACACCTCGTGCCTTGCTTGCCCTTACAGCATCCTGAACAACAACCAGCTGTCGGGCTCCATACCAGCTTCCATCTTCAACATGACCAATCTCAAGCTCATGTGAGCCCCAAATCTCTGTGACCGTAACTACCAATCACCGCACACTTGCACTCCCTCATTCTCCCACTGACACCAATGCAACATGCCTGCTACTCGTTCAGGCCCAGTCTTCTCCCCCGCAGTCGCTGCTTTCCACCATGATGCCTCGCCATCCTCTCTCACACCATGCCTCCCTTGCACCATGGCTCGCTTATTTACTTGTTTCTGTTGCGGCCCTCCCATGCAGCTTCTTGGCCAAAAACCATCTGAGCGGCAGCCTGCCTGCTGACATCAGCCGACTGAATAATCTGGAGCAGCTGTGAGACCCCTCTCTTCCTCTGCTGCGTTGCCTCGTCCCTCGTAATTCCACCATCCGCCCACAAACTTCTTGGCCAACAAGCGCCCACTGTGAGTCCCTCAGTGCGTCACTCTATGCTTTTCTGTAGGCAACCAAAGCCTCTCTTGCCACACCCACATGTACCATTCCCTAACTCCCTGCCCCTCCCAGCTGGCTGGACAACAACAGCATCGAGGGTCCGCTGCCATCTGCCATCTGCTCGATACCCTGGCTGCGGCGCATGTGAGTGGCTGTGGCGCATGTGACCTCCTAATTGACCCTGACCCAACACCCTCCCCTCTTCCCAGACCCCTCTTCTCTGTCAAATTCCATTTTCATTATGCATTCTTTCTATTCTGCGTAGCCATTTTTTTTCCTTGATATGTATCATGTGTGTTCTCGCTAGAGTGCTCTGCTGTATGCTGTATGTTTGTGTTGTGGTGGCAGCATGGTGAGCAACAACCGCCTCTATGGGCCCCTTCCAGACTGCCTCTTCAACAAATGTGTGAACCAAATGTGAGTCCCGACTAAGTACCGTCGTATTCAAGTGGATTTACATAAGCGAATATGTGCAGTGCGATTAATAGGCAAGCTGAAAGCAGTAACAATATGCATTGGTGGTCACATCAGCAGAACCAGCTCCAACACTCAATAATGTTTGCGACGCTCGAGAACGCCCAATAATGTTACACGAGAGTTGGTGAGGTGATACTTGAGTTGACTCAAAATTGGAGCCAATCCACAGCCTGTATGGTGAGTACACTTGATACTGTCACTAAGCTCAATCTCATCCTGCCCTACTGTATGGACCGGCTTGTTTATCCCCATCCGGTCCATGCGCAGCTGTGATCGGTCGCTGCTTCCTCACGTATGCACCTATTCGTGGCATCTAACCGGTATCTCAAAGCAGCTGCCCTTGCACAATCTGCACTGCTCCGTCACCTCCCATACCCACCCTCAACCTTTTTAAACCGCAGTGATGTGAGTGGCAACAGCCTGTACGGGCGCATCAACCGCAACTTCAGGAACATGGTGGCGGACGGCCATACCCTCATCAACTTGGCCCACAACTTCTTCTTCGGCGATGCTGTGCTCTTTGCTGCCGGCTGCCAGATCTGCCCCGTTGAGATCAGAGAGCCCAACCACCTGATGGTGTCTGAAACCAGTTCCGGCCAACAGGCTGGGAAGTGCATTAGTGGCGTAACTTCCATGAGAGATTTCTCAGTTGCCGGGGCAGGCAAGGGTGCGAGGGTGAGCCTGTCAGGGAACTGCCTGACTCTCAGCCCAGACGCGGATTGCCCCTCCAACGCCACCCAGCGCAGCACGGCAGCCTGCCAGGCGTTCTGCAGCATCACGGACAACGGCCCGTGTGACGGCCATGGGGAGTGTGTGCCTCCTGCACCCGCCTCCCCCTCCAACTTCACCTGCCTCTGCCACGCCGGCTACTCTACCCTTGACTTGGGCAACGGCTCTACCTGTGCTGTTGTCAACTCCACCACCACCACTGGTGAGCCATAACCCCACCAGCATAGCTCACTTGCGCTGTCGCACTGTTGCACGCCCCACACTGCCTCACTGCCCCACACTGCCTCACTGCCCCATTCTGCCTCACTGTAGTGCACTGCCCGGAACAGAATGGAATGCGCTGCGGCTACACCACCGTAGCCGGCTCACACCATCCCATCCGTAGCCTCTCTCCACTGCTTCCACCCCACCCCAACATTCCTTAACAATTCTTTCATGCTAACATTTTTTTTTCTCTACTGCATTTATTCCTAAATTCTAGAATCTCTCCACAGGCAGCCTTGTCACGTCCCTGGTGCTCTCTTCACTCCCCTCCTACCTCACTCCCCCTCCCTCCCCTCTTTCTCCCTCAACCCCCCTGCCCCGTTTAAACAGTGTCCTCTCTCTCCACGGGCACCATAGTGGGCATTGCTGTGGGGTGCTTTGTACACTATGTGCTGATGAGCTGACTCTTTATTTGCTGCTGTCCTCACCCTTCCCCTTCCACCCCTAATAGTCTCCTCGATCTCCACGGGTGCCATAGTGGGCATTGCTGTAGGGTGCTTTGCTGGCTTCACTCTCCTGGCTGCTATACTCACATGGATGTTGTGGCCCCGAAAACAGAGTGAGACTTCCAACAGTGCTGCCCCCTCTCCTGAATCTCTCCCCCCTCTTCATGTTGCATACCATTCTGCATCCTGCATCGCTTTTCTTCCATCCAACGCTTTGGAACCATCCATATCTCCATTCTCATCTTCCGCACAAAACGCTGTAGGATCCTTTGAACCGTAGCCATCCCCCTGCTATTGTTAATATGCTCTGCATGGATGCGTGCAGGGAAGTGGGAGGGGTTGGATGTGTGTGAGCAGTACACGCTGCAGCAGATCTTGACGACGACAGACAACTGGGCAGAAGAAAATGAGCTGGGCAAGGGGGGTTTTGGCATTGTGTACAAGGGGTGCTCCCCACAGGGGCAGCTGTGGGCTATAAAGCGCTCTACCATCATGACGAATGAGTTTGAAATAGAGGTGAATCTTCATTTGGAAATGAATTTCTATGTGTTTTGCAATCTGGGTCTCACTCGTCAAGAAACGAAAAATAGGATATTCACAGGATAAACACTATTATTATTAAATTTTGTCAAATTGTGTTCTTTCTTCATATTTTCGTTCTTTCACAGGTGCGAGCCATGGCATCCCTCCACCATACGAATCTGGTGCATCTTCTGGGCTTCTGTTTGGACCAGGATGTGGAGACGGGCAAGCAGGAGCAGATCCTGGTGTACGAGTATGTGGGCAACAGGGACTTGGAACACCACATTCACAAGTCCAAACGTGAGCCCTGGAATGCCCTGTGATTCTTGGTGAATCCTTGCTCCCCGTTTGGCGAATGAGATGACTCTTACCCGACCCCTCTGTTCCTTGATTCTCCAACTCCTCGGCTCTGCTCCACTCTCTATTCCCTCTTGCGATATATTAATACTACACAAGGTAAAACCACCGTCCATGTCCCCTCACTCTGCACCAGGCCCACTCTCCATGAGGCAGCGACTGCGGCTGGCACAGGGAGCAGCAGAGGGTCTGGCGTACCTGCATGGGTTTGACACGCCCATCATCCATCGCGACATCTGTTGGTGCAACCCTACGGTTTGCACTCGGCTTGTTGTCCGTGTGCGTGTGTGTGCATGCGTGTGTGCATGGAGTGGTATGAGTGCATGAAATAAATATATATTTCATGCTTATAATAGTGTGTGTATGATGGGTCATGTATCGAGTGTGTGTGTGTCGAGTCTATAGCGAGTTATCGCTAGCCGCGTGTTAACGCGGTCATTTTGTGTGTCCCGCGCGGTTTCTATTTTGTCGTGCGCGGTTTCTATTTTGTCCTGTGTCAAACGTTCGGCGTGTCGCAGGTGTGTGCAGCAGACCCATCAAGAACTCAAGGTTGAGTTTGTGATGAAGAACCCGAGCCTTGGTTTCAAGCTTCAAGTGTTTTTCGAAGCTGGCCAAAAGGGTACACCTCAAGATATTGAAGATAGTTACATTACAATTTGTAGTGTAACATTTCTATGGGTGTAGGCCCTTGTGGAGGGTAGTTTCGAGACCCTTCTTGGTTGGGGACAGTGTGGCACTGTTCCCCATCACTGTAGCTCGGTTCTTGGGGTTTGTAGGAGCTGGGAGTCCTTCCCAACTCGCAACTCTTCCTAGTTGTTCGTAATTGTGTCTTCTAAGACTATGTTGCTGCCATAGTGCCGTTCGTTCAATCTGACGCTGTGTCGTCAATTCTTGATGAAATCGTGCGATCTAAATTGCCTATTGTAGGGCACGTTAAGACGCTCCAGATCCAAGTTGAATGAGGTCAATTGGAGGTGTGAGCAGATCGCTATGATCGTTTAAAGCCGCTGTGCAGAAACCTGACTGCGCACTCTATCTTTGGTTCTAGGCACATTGAAGCCTGTTGGAGCCTACTGTGACTACAACAACATCAAGCCCGCCAACATCCTTGTGACGGCCGATGCCACACGAGTGGCAGGCACTCCGGGCTATGTGGACCCCGACTACAACCGCACCAGCTTTATCACTGCTAAGAGTGACGTCTTCAGGTCTGCATACGTTGCTCTGTTGTTCTGTACATCAGCTTACCATACTCTCTTGTAGTGCCATTTGTTACTTGCATTGGCTACAGCATGCTTCTTGTTTTTCTGCTGGTTTGAAGCTGGTTCTGTGCTGCAGCTACACCTCATTCTTGAGTTGTAACTCTCAGTGGCTGAAGCATGTCTCTGTCCAAGCTGGTTCTGTACTCCCTCCCTACCCACTGCCATGAGCGCTTGTCAGCTTTGGAATAGTTCTTCTCGAGTTGCTGACAGGAAAGGCACCCCGAGATCTTCTTGGTCAGCCTATCAAAGATTGGGTAATTGACCTTATCCCTCGTCAAACCCACCCTGGCCTCCTGTTCTCTTGCATAACCTCTGCTTTTGAGTCACATATCCTCTGTATTGTGCCACCTTGTGCTACCTTTCCTCTATCTTGCTGCTGTTCACTGCGTCTCCATTTGAGCGTGCTGCCTTAAGTTTCTTTCTTTCTTCCATATAAATCCATGCGCCATGCTCCTTCCTATTTCTCCACCTTCGTCTGCCTTTCCCCTCAATCTTGCTCCTCCATATCACACCTTTCCTCTATCACACTTCATCGCACGGGCTCTCTGCAGGTGATGAAAAAGGTGGAGGCTCACCAGTTTCTCGTACACAATTACTTGTTCCTCTAATCATGTTGCCTTGCACAATGAGCTGTTTCCTCTCTAACTTGTTTCTTTTCAGGCGATGAAGGAGATGGAGGCATATCACTTGGATGAACTCAAAGACAGCAAGCTAGAAGCAAGTGAGGAGGCCATAGTGGACTTTGCTGACCTGGCTCTGGACTGCGTTAAGCCACCGGGCACACGACGGCCTGACATGGGGGATGTTGCATACCGTCTCAAAGTGCTCATTCAGAAGCATTGCCCAGAAGCGGAGGCCAATTGGGAGAGCTCGGAGCAGGCAGATAACACAAGTATTGGTGATTCGTTCCCACGCTCGGAAGGTGGTTCTGCTTGCAATGTTGGTGGAAGAGGGTCACACATGGGGTCTCAAGTGTCTCAAGGCTCGCTTGGACTGAGCGGGTCCTCCTCGAGCAACTTCGGTTTAGGGGTTACTAGAATCAAGAGCTGGCTGAAGACCCGGTTTCACGACCTCAGGGATTAGAATTTCTAGTCTGATTTGTATGATTTCCACTCTTTTTTTTTCCCTGATCCATCATACTTGGTTGGAGTAATTGACATGTTTAGAAAGCAATCTAGAAGAATGCCAGTAGCGCCTTAGCCTCGTATAGAAAACGAGCACTTCCACACTGTTGCAATACATGTCAAACGGTTTTCCTTTATGTGTGTTAGTTTATATAGGCTAGACAGGGTTAGGCTTTGGTAAGTATAACTTTTGTACCTCTGTTCCTTGTTCCCAACTCTCTAGTGAAATTTTCTCTCTTGACACGGTATCGATGTATGTTAGCTAGGTTACTAAGTAACTAATAATCTATGTTCCTAGTTTAGCGCTGCCCTTAGCCAGCTCAAACTTCTTAGTATCACAAACGCCTTAGTCGACAAAATTATTCTTGCTACTGCCGATCTCGTTCTCCACAATCATACGATTTCATCAATACGAGCACCTCTTAGTTTCATTGGCGTTTCACTGGGCCTTTACATGGTCTTGACGAAACCTTGATGGGGATTCTTCTAACGGGACCTTGACGGATGTCAGAAACCCAGCCACTAACCACAGGGAAATAGGCCTTGTTTGCGTAGCAAGTGAGTGCGCCAAAAACCTCCCAGGTCAACGTGCCTGTAACCCTTTCCTATGATCAATCAGGGATCTCCTGTTCACCTTCTAACAACGGGCCTTTACGTGAATCCCGATGTTATTGGTGTCTGATGGAGCTCTCAGGGGGGTTTCACTGAAGTGTGGAAAATGTGCCAATAGCTAGAATCGAACTCTAGCCTTCAAAATATAAAAATACCGCCAAGGTTGTTTTACCAAACAACTAAACAATATAACAATTCACACAAAGCACATATGAAATTCATGTATCCCACAAGTTAACTTCCTTGAACCTTGTTTTACGTCGAGTCGCATACGCAACTATGCTTGCTTCCTTGAACGCCCCTCAAGCCCGAAAACGGTGCCTTGTGGACCACGCGATGGTCGTAGCCCCAACTAATTTCCCCTCACACATGTTCTCCCCTTCTATTCCATTATTCCTCCAACTTCACTGCTTCCTCCCCGTTTCTCCCATTCTTCCATTTCCATAGCCAACACGCGAAGCCTCAAATAAGTTTTCTTATCTCCTTCGATTCTCCTTCTCAACACGCCACTGTTAAGTATATTCGGGTGTGGTTTGATGAACAACTCCAACAGAACTCGATTCTCGCAGTCGCCTAGCGCACATTGCTGTCCTGTCGCCTTGCGCTCCCCACCGCCACACCAACTAGCGCACCCTGATGGCCCACCGCCCAGCGTGCCCTGCTGCCCCGCCGTCCTGCGCGCCATGCTGCCCCGTCGCCTAGTAGCCTAGGTCGTGCCTTGTCGGCCAGTGCGCCCTATGGCCACGAGCAGCAATGGCAGTGGCAGCGGCGCGCTGCTACCCTTTAGCGCGAACAGTAGAAGCAGCAGCGCGCTGCTGCCTCGTTAGGGTGAGCAGCAGCAGCAGCTGCGCCGCCGCCCGCCCCTGCCACCACCGCCGCTGCCTAGGCCACCCTGCCGCTACAGCTGTCTAGACCGCCGCCACCGCTGCCGCTGCTTGTAACACCGCCACTGCTCACTGTTAGAGACTAAGGACCGAGTCTATTAAGATTAGGTGCCGATATAACTCAAAATCGTTGGGCCTAGTTTCTGGACAGAAAAGTCGACTCCACAAGAAACGCCATCGACGAAAAGTGCACCGTTGAAACTCCGCCAATTTCAGGTATATTGTAGCTCTAGTCTTTGGCTACAATTCCCAATTTGAATCGCACGGAAAGGTGGAGTATTTCTTGAGTTATGAATTTCGGCGCACTGGGGGGTATGCTGCCATAGAAATTAACCCAATCACAATTATACTCACAAGTTCTCAAGTTCACACACAAAAGAGTTGGAGTAGGACTAAACCAGGTAGGAAGAGATGAGGAGGACGAGAGGGAAGGTTCCAAGAAGTCCGTAACAAAAGAGTGGAAACCCCATGCCACACAAATCCCCTCTCTATAGGCACCCCACCTTTGACATTTGTCACTTTCCCAACTCATGCCATCCACCTCAACCCACTTGGCCACACTTGCCAACCTGGTTTGGCTTCACCCAACCACATGGCAGCAATCTACAGTGATGGGTTCGAATTTCCCAACCCCCAAAAGTCTATACCCCATATTGAGTCACTCCACAAATTCCCATAGTCGCCGCATCCCAATCAAAACTTCGAACGATCATAACTTTCTCGTTCTTGCTCCGATCGCGGCGATTCTTGGTTCGTCGGAAAGCTCTTGAGCAGAGGAGTCACTTCAGATATCTGCTCAAGCCAAATAACATTCACACCCATTCAGGAAATCCAAACCGCACAAAAAAAAGCAAAATTTTGCACGCTCTCACAACACGCATGCAACGCACAAACACATGATGGGAGGCAGACAGACGTGAATGCATATGGTTGCATCACACAACAAACTCCCCCTCTGGCTGCCAACCATCATCCCACATGCCATGACACAAGCATGCACCCTCAATGCACACTCATCCCAGCAAGCTTCATGCCCTTCCAATGCTCAGGTTCTGCCAGGCGCTTGGTGAGAATGTCAGCCGCCTGCTGCTGGGTCTTCACAAGCTCCAGTCGCACCTCCTTGTCCAGGAGCCTCCTCGTCCAATGCCACTTTGGCCTGATGTGCTTTGTCAGGCCATGAAGACAGGCATTCTTCGCAAGCTTCACCGCCGACTCATTGTCACAAAATATCACAGTCGGCTTCTTTTGACCAACTCCAATCTCCTCGAGCACGCGCCTCAGCCACACCACCTCCTTGGCCCCATGATGCAGGGCCATGTACTCGGTCTCACACGAGGACAGCCCCACCTCATTCTGCTTCTTGCTGCGCCAACTCACTGCACCACCTCCAAACAGGCACACGTAGCCTCCAATGCTGGTGCCGTCTGACTTTACAGAGTTGAAGCTAGCGTCGGTGTAGCAAGTCAAGAGCATCTCCCCCTTGCTGAAGTAAGCTGCACCCCTCTGCAGCCTCTGTCGCACAGCACTGTACTCCAAGCCAACTGATGCTGTAGCACTCACATAGTGGACCAACCTCTTGGCCGCTTCCAGCTGCTCATGACTGGGGCGTGAAACCACACTTGCAAGCCTGGATGTAGCAAACGCAATGTCAGGCCGCGTGTGGTTAGCCGCATAGTTGAGCGCCCCAACCATGGAATGAAACAGCTTCCTGTCACTCTCTCCCACCACCTCCTCATCAGCACAGGGCTCCACAGTGAACCCCGAAGGTAGTGGGGTGGCTGGCTTCCCTCCATCTTGCAGCCCATACTTCTCGGCCAGCCCCTCACAGTACTTCCTCTGGTGCAACCTCAACACTCCCTTGTCGAGGTCCCTCTCCATATGCATTCCAAGGTAGTACTTCACATCTCCCATCTTTGAGCACTTAAACTGCATCTCCAGCATCTCCTCCACACGGTCAATCATTGCAGACGACTCAGAGAAGAGCAGGATGTCGTCCACGTATACCAGGAGCATGAGGAACTTGTCCTTCTCTTGCAGCAGGAACAGGCTGTGATCACACTCGCTCTTCTTGAAACCCCCAGCCAGCAGTGTCTCCTCCAGCTTGTGGTACCATGCACGAGGAGCCTGCTTCAGGCCATAGATGGCCTTCTTCAGCCTGCACACCCTGCCGCTCCCATCATCCAACCCCTCAGGCTGCAGCATGTACAGCTCCTCCAGGATGATCCCATTGAGGAAGGCAGTGATGATGTCCATCTGCTTGATCTTCCATCCACGGTTTGCAGCCATTGCCAGCATCGTCCTCAGTGTAGTCCCTTTCCCCACAGGAGCAAAGATGTCGTCAAAATCCTTCCCCTTCGTCTGCTGGAACCCCTTAGCCACAAGCCTTGACTTGTAGCGGGTCAGCTCCCCATCAGGTCCGTACTTGTGCCTGAAGATCAGCTTGGAAATAGCCTTCTTCCCAGGGGGCAGCTCACACAGCTCCCACGTCTCATTCTCCAGCAGTGAGTCGTACTCCTCCTTCACACTCTGCTTCCACTTCTCAGCATCGGGCCCACTCAAGGCCTCGGTAAGCGTCTTGGGCTCAGGGACGGCTGCCCAGTAGCAGTGCGCTATCTCCTCCTCATCACACTGCTCGGCTACAGTTCCAGCCCTTACCACACTTGGCTTCCCAAAGCTCGGATAGGTCAGCCGGTTAGGAGGGCGCACATCCCTCCTAGGACGGTCAGCCGGACGTGCGGCACCTTGTGGAGCACCTTGCTGCTGCTGCTGCTGCTGCTGCTGCTGCTGCTGCTGCTGCTGCTGCTGCTCCTCCACCTCAGGTTCTCCCCCATCCTCAGTCACCCCAGAGATCTCCTCCCCCGACACGGAGACTTCCACCTGCCTTGAAGGCCGCTGCACCTCATCGGCCTCAATGATCAGCGGTGTAGTAGGAAGCTTCTGCTGCTGCTGCTGCTTCCACTCCTTGTAGTACAGAGACTCGAGGAATTTCACATCCCTCGACACAGTCAGCTGCTTGCTTGTCAAGTCCCATATCAACCAGCCCTTGTGATCCTTAGCAAGTCCCAAATGCACACCCCATCTCCCAGAAGCTTCCAGCTTTCCCCTCTTCTCCTTCGGCACACGCGAACAGTCGTGCTAAGGAGAATGAGCCCAAGAAGGGCAAAACTGGAGGGACGAGCAAGCTCGGTGAACCTAAGGAGAGTGGTGCAGCAGCTAAGGAGCATCGCAAGGGTGAGGAGAACCCTGAGGCAGCAGCTGAGGACTACGGAGAGGGTATGTGGGACGCTATTGCGAGCGTGGCATTCTCCAATCCGACTTCGGCTACGGGGGAGTGTGATTGGTTGACTTTGCATCGGCGCATGGGGCATGTGGCCTTACCCATCTTGCACCAGCTAGTGAAGAACCAGACGTTACGGGCATACGTGTGAAGGGGGAGCCCGATGAGGTGCTTGGCTGCCCGACG